ATACGAGAATCATGAGATCACAGAAATCCGATGGATCCATGGTGAAGACAACCCTGCTGACTCGATGACCAAGTCATCTCCAAATAAAGCCCTTCATGGTCTTGTTTCTGATAACAAGACAACGGTTCGAGTTGAAGGCTGGGTTCAACGTTGAGATTACCTGGATGGATGGTTTGATGGAATCGCAATCATAAAAGAAAGAATATCCTGTGTTGGATCCATGCGATTCCAGCCTGCAAACCACCTATACCAGGACCCATATGTATGATTAGATAAGTGATTAGATACCGGATTGCGAGGTCACTTAGCTAGACCTTCAGGTCCAGCTAGACCTCCCAATCCAACCATCAGCAACATCATGACCTTGACCCCATACTCGAGTATTATGATTGATCGTTCAAGCCTGTTCCAACAATAAATAAGCTAGGTTAGCTATATATTATTAACGTTCTTAACGTCGGTTATATCTTTGATTATTAAAGTATTAAAACATTATAATAATAAATGCTTTATATAGTAAATAACACTTAACCTCGACATTGATTAAAGGTTCTTTTTAATTAAAAATCTTAATTAACTCTTTTTACTTGCAATAAGTAGATACATATCTTTTGGTCTTTTGATTTAAAAAATTAATAAACTTCAATAGTTGGATTAATTAAGTACTCTAACTTTTATTAAATTCGGGTTAGCCTAACGGATAGTTCATTTTATATAACTTTATATAAGTTATATTCAAAATACGCTGTAAATGTTATAAACTTTATAGGATATATATAATAGAAGAATAAAGATGGTATAGGATTTTATATAAGTAAGTGATAGATTTACCTTATTATTATAGCTGTGACAGAACGCTCACTATAACCACCATGCCACGGCTGTTCCTCCCAAAAGGATGTCGAATATCAAGCGTGGCAGCTTGACATTCAATGGTGGTACATGTACTCATGTCTGGGCTCCAGGACTCACCACATAGGCTACCTATACCAGACCATGACAATAGCTTGATAAAATGTGTGTTTTTTTTTAAATTACGCGTTTTTCAATTTAAAATATGACTTAAACTAAAAATATAGACCTTTTATACGTACGGACTTTTTACTTATAATAATTATATCGGTAATAATAATTATTTAATTAAATAATTATTCTTTCCTATCTCTTGGCTCTGTTATAATAGTATAAAAAGATAAGCGATCCTATTTTTAAAGGAGTAAAAGAGTTACTTTACCGTATGAGTAAAGGTAGGGTTAGGATTAAACAAGCCTACTATCCGTTAACATTATCTTTTACTTATAATTAAAGATCGGATATATAAATATAGCTTCTTTACTCTTTATTAACAACCGTTATTATACGGTTTAATTGTCTGTTTATTATTATTAATAACTCTGCGTATTTATTTATTTATAAAGGAGTAAACACAGTGTTTATCTTTAATAACATTCAAGTTCTATAAAATATGGTTAAGATATAGGTTAGAGCAGAAGGACTTTAGTGTTTTCGTTGTTTTCGTTTACTTGAGTTAGAGCCCTTGGAATTGTGAACGTCGTTAGAAGGCTCCGGAAGTCTAATTTTATCACTACATGTAACATCTCTTCCAACTGACAACCCGAGGCAACCTTCGGCAAAGGTCTGACCGAAACATTTCCCACCTTCATAGCCCCTATCGAGACTCCACAATTGTCACCAGAGTCAGTGGAAATGCCTGTTTTTTGCGGACTAATACAAGTTCGATCGTGACTCCGGGTACATCGTGCCATGAATTTGGAATAACCCAGTGGTGAACGAGGGCGCCTTTGGCTGCGTATATTGCTGCGCGCCTCTGGCGTAGAGCACGTCGGACGTCTCTGTCCACTTGACATCCCCTGCTTCTCACAGGCTGTCTCGTTCCGTCATGGTGATAAGCAGTGTCAGTAATCATGACTATCTTCTCACCAATCAACTGAGTGTTCAGGTTATCGGCCCTCGCGATTGGTAGGGAGTAGACAGGCCACGGTGAAGGTTCAATGGTCCTGGAGCTTTAATAAGTCACCGGGAAGCCCAGCACACTGTTATAACTTACCCTCCAGGCGACGCTGTCGTAATTGAGCGAAAGGGCGGGGTTTATCTCCCCCCCAGTACTTGAGGAGGCTGGCTTCAGCTCGGTGGAATATAGGAATGACTTATCGAACTGCTCGTAGGTGGCTAGAAGACAGACTATATGACAAGCCATTGAACTTCTTGAGAGCCTCTACCCTCCCTCCTGGAATTGATTGATTGATTGTATTTATCGTGGGTGCAGTCCCTCCATAGGGCAAACCACGCCTCCCAGAGCCATTGCATCGCAAGGTTGTAGAGGTGTCAGTCTAGATACATTCAGATCCGCGCACGAGCCTATCCTCGCTGTAGCGGTACCAACCTGGAGTGACCAGATGGTTTTAGTCAATACCCAAGCACGATTCTGTCAGAAAAACCTCCTATCCAGTGACAAAGCGACCCAGTGAACCTCAGTCCTCTGGTGTACACATTGTTCCAGTAGCCGTTCGATATATGTCGCATTGGTGGGTGAAGTAGGTGTTTGTTATCTGCTGGCGAGGGAAACCACAAGGGGAAAAACCTCGCAGGAGTGGGTGTTGTGGAGACAAGCTGTTTGGCTATCGGGCTTTGCGATAAGGGGCCACTCTACTGTCGTGTGCTGGTTGTCGACCCGGGTCAGAAGGGGTTCATAGCAGGATTCGAACCCACTTGTTCTCGTCGCCCACCGCACAAACGAGAACACAACCAAGCGCATTTGACCATTGCGCCATACGGCCCCCTCCCTCCTGGAAGAGTGTGCGTTACTCTCGAGTAGCTCCTGATTGCAAAAAAACCGTCTCCGTACCGGCTTGGGCCGGTATAATTGTGGTGCTTAGGGTAAATGCGTGCTATGAATACTCTTCCGAATCCTCCCATGCACGCGGTGTTTCCTTCCTCGTTGTCTTGCGTGTCAACAATTAGTATTATAGTCTGACCCTCGACGACATGGTGTGACAACTTGTTAAGCTAGCTTCTGGTGAAGAATGCTGCCAACATTGTCCATTGCCATTATCATTATTAAAATGGACTTCTCCTCGCTGGGGATCATCCTTTGAAGGGACTCAGTTATTTGCTTGCGGGCTTGCACTGGTTACCTCTGCGTTTCACGAGTCTGTATGCCCAAAGCGTTCATGATCACTGCAGCTGTGGTGAGAAGAAAACACCACAACACATTTTCTTTTGTAAGAGGCTGGGGAAAAACCGGCTGCTGCCTAGGTACTCGCCTAGGGCAGCTTGTTTACAATACTTAAGGGAGAGGAGCACAGAATGGGCAAAATTCGTAGAGAAGAGCAAGTTCTTTTCAACAATCTGCCCCCGATAGATAGCTTTTCTTGAAGACCAGATGGATGACCCCAAGGTCATATCGCCGCAACAACGGGGATGGGCCCGTGAGCGGGACTGACTGTACTTATTATTTTGAGACCTCCACAACCCTGTGATACAGAGGCTCTGGGAGGCGTGGTTTGCACTACTGAGGAGCTACCCCCCACGTTAAATACAATCAATCAATCAATCAATCAATCACTCTGCGTTTCACGTAGAATAACCCTATAGTTTCTGTCAGGGATCGTACGGCAATAAGGGGTTATAGTGTGAGATTTCAAAGTGTTCTATTAAGGAGAGGGATTCCAGCTACTCTGGAGCGGCCAGAATGGCCCTATATATATCCAAGATACTAAAGGAAAGGATACGTGGCCTTATATTGGCCACGTATGTGACAGAGTCACAAATGGGGATGGTGATCCTGAAGGATGACTATGGATGGGCTAACGTAGCCCAGAATCCAACAGATAGCCGAAGATGGGGGTTAACAGGTGTATATAAGGGGGTCTCGCTCCCTTGAGGGGTTGAAGACCAGGTTTCAACTGTATATAATAGTCTCTTTTGGAATGGAACACCTGTCACACTGCTAGCCTTATTTTTGTTTGACAGTTTCTGTAAGTTCGAGGAGGTAGATCACGATCACGAGCTTTTCCTGAATGAAGAGACATATCGGGGTGACTGCTGGACCATTCAAGGTCCGAAGCCAGCTTATGGGGCGTGAGTTGCTTTTCACTGGCGTTGGTAACGACTCCAGGGCACGGCCTAAATTTCTGACCTGCTGACAAGCCTTTGGCTGAATCGAGAATCATGCGCAGGTTCTGGTCATGGCATGGCTCGTCTGAAGTATTTGATGCACCCTGTATGGCGGATATGAACCCAGAAAGTAACGCATGGAAACGTGTCCTACTTACATAGGGTGCACAGTCGCCTTCTCAAGTCGTTACACGCGTTCGCTTGTTTCTGAGCTTGGTCGTGGTGATATTCATGTGGAGTCCAGCCAACATAATCACTGCCATTATGCTCGAGTGATAGGCTACCAACTCGCAAACTCTCCCACCCTGTCAGCCTAATGCTTAAGGAGGATGTTTTGTGCCTGTTCAAAAGACGCCGTCTCTCGACGAGGAACTCGAGACCGAAAAACTCGTGCTAAAAATTTAGAAATGCCCTCAAAGTGTCACTAGGCACGCCACACAAGACCAAACTCCACGAAATAAGCTTCAAGTCTCTCAATCACGCCAATGCTTAAAAGACTTGCAGGGAGTACAGGTAGGGTAGTGTCTACAAGAGCAAATTTAATATATATCTGCCGATTTATCTACGCTCTTTTCAAGGTCTTGAATGTTGACGATTAGGAGAGGGAGAGTTGAGGACCCTTGCGAACGGAAACCTTCTACAAGCCTGTGGCTTGCCGTTGAGTGAGTTTCACAAAGTCTAAAAGTAACTAGAATCAAAGTGTTCACCCAGACTTTCCAGGACCATAACGCTTTAAATCAAATAAAAGGTTCTCGTTCTTGTCTCTTTCCTTTTTCTCTTCGTTCTAATTCAATCCTGTTTCCAGACTCACCGTACGGCAACTTCTTCGTTCTTGCATCCCTTCACGCTCTGCAGCCGCCGTCATGGTTCCTCATATCCCAGCCGAGATACTTACTTTGATCTTCGAGCATCTCCACCACGAAGATGATCGAACGACTCTGGCAAACATCGTCCAGGCGTTCAAGTGGTTTCGGACACATGGCCAGCCCCCATTGTACCGCTCATTCGAGGTCTACCCGCCCTGGCATGATTACCACTACGACCATCGCCGCGCAGTCACGCCGTTCTACCGTGCCATTGCAGAGTCTCCGCATCTCCGCCCGTACGTGCAACATATCTAGCTATATAGTCTTCCAGTTCAATCACTGCCCTTAGAAGATGAGGCGCCATTGCAAGCTATGGCACAGCGCCTAGGATTGAAATACAGCAATAGAGCGTGGTGGAGCCGTGACCTATGCGGAACGATGATGGGGATGATGCCTTGCCTACTGCCCAACCTACCATCCATGATCACAGCTGACAGCCGAGTCACCAGGTACCTGGAAGAGTGGGCTCGGCTTTCTGAAACAACTCGCCTGCTGTCTCTGACGAGGGTCCGGACGGCTTTTCGACTACCGCAAAGCACAACGACACACACATCCACAATCTCGGATCACCTATGGTTCATGACGCACCAACTAAGGGCTTTGCTTGCCGTGGCTCCCAACATCCAGCACTTGTTTTTGGAAAAATGCCTCTTTAGCGATGGTGACTTCGAGCTGCCGAAGTTGACGAAGCTGGTGCTCGTGGACTGCTTCCTGAAGCTTGATGACCTCACCAACCTTCTCAAGACCTCCTGCCTGGAGAAGTTCGTGCGGTCTGGCTACCGGCTTCGCGAGGTTGGTCAAGCCACCGCCGAGTCTATGGTTGGCCTGCTCCGCCGGTCAAAGCAGACACTGCAGCATCTGGAGATCGACTTGAGGAAGGGGAACGCTTCGACCCCACGCACAGTCTCATGTTATCTACCCACTACACGTCCAGCCACTGCCCCTGCAGAATATATCCGGTCACTCAAGGATTTCCCACAACTCAGAATAGTCAAGCTATCCCAGGACGCTTTCTACAAGCCACCAGGACTCTGACAACCGACGGACGGCTATACCCTACTGCGTCTCCTGCCTTCGGGAATCACAGAGCTCATCCTGATCGAGACGACCAATCACCTTGGTGGAGACATAAATATTTTTGGGGAGGAGGTGCGTCGTGGAAGGTATCCGGCCCTGAAAGGATTCACTCTCATTGGACGTGTCATCCCGACGAAACTGCGTTCGAAAGATCTCATATTTGAGGATGGGGATGTTCAGTTTTTACCTCTGAGGACCGGGTTATCCGGAACTGCCGGTCCTACACAGTGGGATCGAAGACAGGGTTAGACATATGCCCATGGTCCGACACCGGCGGAGAGGACACGAGTATCCCCCAGACGAGATCTGCCCCTACCAGGACTGGTACAGGTGATCCTCCATTCGCCTCATACTTAGAAGCTCAAGATATGAAGCCCGAACTCAGATACGGTCAGGTTAGAGAACCCCCCCCCCCCCCCCCCCACACACACACACTTTCATTCCAGACTAATAAGTGATCCAGGGAGCTCACGTGTACATCAGGGGTGCGAGGCTCAGTAGCCTCCCTCATACCAGCATTGAAAAGGGAACCGAGACGAGTGAACAACGGCTGCATCACTTGCGGGGGTTACGAAGAAATGCAATGGGCATCGGGACGTCCAGACTGATATCAACTAGTATATGCTGTTCGCAAAGGGGCGAGCAATGTCTAGCCAGAAACAAAGTTGTCGGGTGCCTTCTTCCAAGTTGCTTCCGAGTTGCTAGTTGCTTCTTAAAGCTGGAGTATTTGCGGCTGAGTCAAACCGCTCGTGTTATCACCAAGGGCGAAGAAGAAGAGGAATCACAGTCAGAATGCCTGTTGACCAGCGACCCTGCTAGCTCGACCTATTGCTGTGAAAATCTCGGATCTACTTGGCCTGGTGGAAAAGGATGGAACGATATCGAGGAAGCTTGTCGGGCCGTTATGTCTGATTCTTCTTGAACGAAACGAAGATACCAGAAAGGAAATGAAGGTCGGGAATGACTACGAGAATGTTAATGTAGTGTCGATAAGGAGCTTCGGTGAACTATGAGCCGTTGCAAGACTTCATAACGATGGCCTTCATTGGGGTATCTGGTGCAGGGGCACTCCTCTTCTTCCTGTCGCGTCTCGTCCTCAAATTCCAATCAGGCTTTGTCGTTCACCATGTTTGCGACACATTTTTTCGACCTGGCTTGGTCCATCGTCGCCATCGGTCGACCATTCCATTTTGCCAATCGCAATTGCCACGACGGTTCTGATAACCGCATCGTCCTCGATAGCCACCTCGATTATTGTAGGCACCACGGCCGTGGTCCCAAACCGCACCGTTGAAGACCACTTGAAGGAAGGCCTATACAAGGCGATCTAGTACGTGATCTCCATTCCGAACAGAGGAGCCCTCATCTCACTCACCATCAGGGCTAAGGGAATCGCCATCACTTCGACGGGCAGGGTATTCATCCTCTCCATTCCCTCTCATAAGTATCTGCGCGGAAACATCGACCTCGTCTCGAGCCATCGGCATTCAGCATAAGACGCAGAGATGTGGCCTCACTTCGGCTGACGGGGAAAGCCATCCCCTAGATCCTCGACACTGAAGCCCCAGCCGAAGCATCGCGACATGGAGTGAGCTTCCAAGCCTAAGCAAATACGCTCCCCTGGAGATGGAGCAGCTGCTAGCACTGGAGCTTCTAAGTTGGCGCACCAGGACGTGAATGGCAGCAGGAAGATAGATACATATGGGCGTAAGGAGGACCTAGGGCACGCGTGGGGTTTGACCAGGCTGGCCGTCACTCACAGGGAGAGGGAGTGAAGACGATGGTCGTATTGAGAGAAGCAAGGCCTGTGATGACGGCAGTTCAGGTTGTGTCGAGGACTCCAGAAACTTTGGTGCTGTGGCATATTCGATACTACATATCCAAGATCGCATTCGTATATTCGAGAGCCCACCTGTGTTGTGGTTCATTGAACACAGTTCATACATACCTCAACGACGACCATTGCGTCTCGATAAATTGTGGTAAACGATTGCTGGGTACGAGAGTAACACGCCCTGCTTGTCTAGCTGCCTGCCTACCTCCTGCCATGCCCAGTGGATATGCTGGTTCAATACATGCTTGGCCGACGTGTGTGCGACTCACCAACCGACGAGAGTGGTTCACGCGACAGCATTATCGGTGGCTCTCGAAGGTAGCTTTGCGAGAGGCAATAGCGGCCACACCAACATCGCAGTTCGCCCAAAAGCGCGATCGGATACTCGGTATCGCGAAAGGTAAAGCTCAGCCTGCAGCTCCAGGCGCACGCCTGGAGGGTGAATATGCGCACGAACAGACTGATGAGTGAGTGGTCGCACCAACAGAGACATCTAAACACTATAAACGCCTTGCGTCAGGCTCCTCCCTCTGGATCGTGACTGCAACCACCCTTAAAATACCTGCATGCCCGCCCGAAGAAGTGGCACACACAGTTCCCAAAGGATGAGATATAATCGGATGAGATGACGAGGGCCCTTCCGAGGATGACGATAGGGAGGATTACTGGAACATGCGACGCAAGGCGACGTGGATCAGCTCAACCAAAACCGTGCACAACCTCGGTCTGGGATGTCGCCCGCGGTCTCACTGGTGGAACACTCAGAGGATTGAGAAGTGTTGCGCCGCCGCGCCGCTTCCGCAGCGCCACCATGGAGCTGCGTGACAGAAAAAGGGGAGCAGGCAGGTAGGCATCAATTCCTGGCGTTGTCGTAATCGCCAAGCTAGACACACACGGCAGGCGGAAAGAAAATAGCACAAGCCTGGTAGGTTCCTCAGGAGGAGGCGGCGGCGGAATCGCGCCGAGTCCAACAAGACTCCAAGTGGCTTTGATCGGTCCTCGGGGCTGACATTGTGTACGAATTTAGCACGTAAACCATGAAGTTGGGCGGGGATAGGCAGCTCCGCTCTTACGCGAGAACCTACTGCGTAGGGAACGGCCCCTTTTGCGATGTCTAATCCGGCAGGTCATGAAAGGACGCGGACTAGGAAATGTAGGACGACTTAAAAAAGACATCCCGTCTGGGATAATGAATCGAGATCGTGTGTGTGACTCTTCGAGAAGGAAATAAATTGCTGTCTGGGCTAGAGCGTGAAAAATCGCAAGGAGTGTGCGAAGACGACGACCTGGAAATGATCTCACAAATTGATGTGCGATGCGGAAACGAGGTGGTGCAGGGAAGAGAGGTCGAGTTGCCAACCCAGGTAGCATCTAGCGATTCCAGCCCATCCTTTGGTCGCACGCTAATCGCGAGTAACACACTCGGAGGAAGAGACCTCGACTGCTTGGGTTATGAATACGAAACTTTGCACGTAGTGAATGGAGTGAATGGGTATCTGGGTGGAAAGGCCGCGTGGATAGAGTAGGTAATAACTACTATTGGCGACTTCTGAAGCGTCACGGCCAGGGCTTGTCAGTGGTAGGGGGATCCAAGCTCGCTTCTGCGATACCACATGCTGATGCGCCCCGCGTGACATTGTTGGGGAACGAATGGAAGCAGAACCCCGGTGACTTGAACAGCCACTAATCCTGTTAGAGAAGCCAATGGGCCTGTTCAACAGCCGAATTCCCTTTCGGTGGGAAGGTTGTCACTTGGTCAGGATGACTTCCTGGCAATTACATCTTATTAGCAGCCACTGGCAGCTTGGTCCACGCCTCTGGCATGCCGCGGCCGTGAAGTGTGGCGGCATGATCGATGGTCATGGCCAGCGGAGTCAGACTGCACCGGCTGCCGCGGAAGGGCGACATGATCATCGTCAGTAATGGAAGCGTCGTCAGAGAATAGGCACACGATGGTGACGAGCTTGGAGGCGTTCCAAGTTCTAATAATGAGGTCCGAAGTGTTATAGTGAACGCGCTTGGTGGGTACCCGAGCCATCCGCGTAACCCGTGTCGTGGCATGATGGTAGGTATAGGAAAAACTTAAAACCCTTGTCATTTTCTGAAGGTGAGATCGTCTGCCACGGACCATGGCGGCTGACTAGTAGCAAATGCGAAAGACCTCGAATCATTCTGGGGACCGGCGATTGGCTGCGGACCATGTAAAAAGATTTGATCGACTCACCTGAGAATTCTCGATGCCCTAATCAAGTTATTGGCGATTCAGGTTGATGTAGGTCGTCAAGGGACATCCCTGACATGATCCACTTGCTCACACGTGGTTCGAGAAGCGTTGCACACGGTGCAGCTGGATGCTGGATCACCTTCCATGATAATAACGACAGAGCCTTGTTGAGTGAGGGAACTGGCGCCGCAACGATAGAGGTTTGTTCGGGGAGGGTCTGTAGCGAACTCAACAAAAGGACAGGACACATCGGCGCTTTGATGCCGTACGAGAGCACTCGCTCCCATCCCACACCGAGATTTGCAATACTGGAAAACCGCCCCGTTTGTACGTTCGCGCATCATCGATATGCCGTCGTTCGTATCAAACAAGGCAGCGTTCATACACAGATGTCAGCAATGCTGGCGCGAGGATCATGCGTCGAGAGCCGGCAGTCTGTCACAGCGCAGGCCCTCCAAGCAGGCTTGCCCAGGAGATGTGAGAGTCGTGTGTGTGTGAGATCGACTCCAGAACCAGTCAATTGGCGAAGCCTTGACGATCCTTGTGGCACGCCGCCATCTCGTTGGTGGTTGTGACCTGGAGAACAAGGAGCAGAAGAGTGGCCGCGTGTGACTGGGAGTGTGCCGATATTGGCAAAGTCTCAGGCCGTATCGGTATGAGGACCGGCCGAAGGACGCCGACAGGGACCGGTAATCATAACCAAGCCCGCCGGATGCTAACCAGAAGAAACCGTCATAATTATAACCAGGCATGTCGGTATAGGTGTTTATAGAGACACACCCGTCACCATCTTGCTCTTTATGATTGCGACAATCAAGCAAGGGTGGTTCTCGTGATCCATCACGATACATAGTACTCTCAAAAAGGTAATGCCTGCGTAACTTGCTGGTGTCGTAACGG